TCGCCCCGCTCACCGCTCCCACGCGCGCCCAGCTCCGGGCCGCCAGGACCAGATCAGCCTCATCCACGCAGAGCTTGTCACTGCGCAGCAGGAGCAGCAGCGCGGGCGCTGACAGCTCCAGGAAGCCACGGGTCCGAAGTGCTTCCTGTGGGTCCAGGAGTGGGTCAGGGAGGAGCAGAATGAGGTGTGTGGGGTTGTATGAAAATGGGGAGCTGTACCTGGCTGTGGGCCTCTGCGAAGGCTATGCAACGCTCCTGCAAAGGTCCCAGGCCAAAGGTTACAGCCACCTGGGAGCAGAATGAGGGAGATCAAGTTAGAGATGAGGGGCCGTGTCCTAGTAGCCCAGCCCTCCACACGGGGGACTACCTGCTTGGGTCCAGCAACACCCACCTGCAGGGCCTCACAAACCAGCTCCACGTCCAGCACCTTCACCACAAACCCCAGGCATAGCTGGGAACGGAAATGAGTGTAGGTTGTGCTGAGGTATCCTTGCTCCCAGACCCCCACCCATCCCAGAAGCAGTGAGCAGGCTTGGAACCGTCAGCCGTCAGACTCCTAGCAGGCCCAGGCCCAGGCCCATGGACTCCCAGGCCAGGGGAGACAGGGAGTCACCAGGGCCTAAGCCTTGGCAAGCCCAGCCCTCCACAAAGGAGAGTTTTCATGTCTATTTCTATTTGAAGAACAAGGATGAAGGCTCTCATCTGGTATATACGGCACCAGCCATAAACACCCCGTGTGCCCCCCAGCACACACCAGGCATGCAGGCATCCTTTTGCACACAGGCACACATAATGCCTATTAACACAGTAAGATACTTCTCCCGGTGTTGGTACATGTTCCTCTCCGGGACAGAATGAGTGTGAGGAAGGGTATGAAATGAACCCATCAGAGGCAACGGAAAGGAGAGGGGCCTGCCCCATAAACCCACCTCTCTCAGTTCCTCCAGCCCATACTCCACCGCGGCTGTCAGCACCTCCAGCACCTGCAAAGTGGTGGTTGGAGTGGAAGAGTTTTCCCTGCTCCTCGCCCCCCTCCCTCCCCCCACCCCCCACCCCCCAGACCTCTGCCCAGTGGGCTCACAGAATGGCGGTGCAGCTTGACACTGTTGGTGTACAAGAACTCCAGCACTGCCAGGAAGGCCTCCGCTGGTATGGTGCTCAGCACCACCGGGCTAGGCACCCCAGGGCCTGGCTCTGGGCCCAGAAGTCGCTGGAAAAAGTTGCATCTACAGGCCAGCAAGCACCGGTGGGCAAACACCTCCTGCCGTTCTTGACCGACCACAAAGCGAACATCACTGTGGAAGAGAGGGGCAGAGAGCCAGGGGAGAAGAGGCCGGAGTCTAGGATGCAACTCTAGGCTTTGCCTTTGCCCATTCTGGGTCTTCGCTTCCTTATCTGTCCTATAAGAGACAGGGCTTAGTTCTTCCAGCCGAAGGTTTGAAATACAAAGGCCTGTGTTCTAGTCCCAGCTCCACCCTATGGTACCTCAGGCAAGTGACTTTCTACCTTTGAATCTCAGTTTGCTCCCCCATGAAATGGGATGGTAATCCCAAACTCTCCGGTCTGGGAGGAGGTGGCTATGCTTGATCACGGAAGAAGCTCCAGGGCTGATGGATTACACATACCCTCTCCTCCCCAGCCCGAGTCTTGGGGGAAGGGAAACGCTGCTTGCTCTTCCTCCACAGACTGCAAACTCAGCTTTTTTCAGCCTCCTCCAGACAAGAGGGGGTGGGAGGATAGGGGTACAGAGACAGCAGTAATGCACCATCAAGAGGCCAGACCACATTTTCCATCTTCATGATCACTTCCGGCCCCAGCCTCTGGGCCTCTGACAATGTAGTGGGTAGGAGGCAGGGGATGAAACCTGACTTCCTGGAGCCTCCTGGTCCCAGTTCCAAGGCCTGTGACCTCCAAAGCAGTAGGGTTATGGGATTCAGCCACCTTTGTGGAGGAGCCCAGCTCTCAGCCAGTGGGCACAGCAAGCTATATGCTAATTCTCCCGACCAGCCCTGCCCCCCCCTTCTCTATTCCTGGTTTCAGACCACTTGTGTCCTAGGCAGACACTGAGCCCCAGACAGCACCCTTGAACCACTTCCTGTCTGAGACATTGGCTCAATCTCTTGAACTTTTTGTTCCTCTAGTAAATGCCCAGTTCCTAGGACAGGGTCATCTGCTCCTCTGCCTCCCCAGGGAGGGACTCAAGTTACTTCCCATCTCTCCGGACCCAGGGGGCAGGGGGCTCTTCTTTGCTAGGAGCCCAAGATCCAAAAAAGGAAGGCCTTTGCCTCAGGCCACACAGTCACCCACTGCCCTCCACCTCTGGTCTGGGGATATTATGGCCCCTGAGTTCAAGAGGGTCAAGTCCTAACTCCTCGCCTCTCCTGCACTCAGGGCTTCCTGAGTCATGGGGCCCAGCAGAGCCGGCTATGGAAACCCACAGAGAGGACCCACCCCCTCACCTGTACAGGCGGTTGTTGATGAGGCTTCGGAGGGCTTTGGAAAAGGGCTCAGCTTGCCCATGCACCAGTCCAGGGGTCTCCATGGGTGGGCGGGGGCGGGGGCGTGAGTGAAATAGCCTAGCAGGCCTGTTGCAGGTCAGTATGTGGGAGGCAGTAGGTGGGAAGGAGCAAGAGGCCTGGCCAGGCCTTACAGTTGGTAAGGAGACTAGAAAGGCCAGAGAGGGAGGGGCGGGAGTTGGGGAGGCCCGCTTGCTGAGAAGCTGTTTAGGGATGGGGCAGGAGAGGCCCAGGTGTCTGAAGAAGGCATCAGAGGCTGGTAGAGGAGGCCAGAGGCTCGGCTTGGGGACTCAGGGAGGGGACCAAAAGAGGCCGAGTTGGAGCAGACTAAATGGGGGAGGAGAAGCTAACTGCAAATGAGGCCCCAGCTGGGAGCCTGCCCAGGCCGACTAGGGTGGGAAGCCTGTGGGTTTCCAAGGAAACTGGAGCCTGGCCTGAGGAGGCCCCGCCCATCTCCCACAGGCCCAGGAAAAACTTCAGACTTCCGAGGGGCCCTAAGCAGAATCGGAGGGTATTAGCACCCTGGCCCCGCCGGTCCTGGCTTCGGAGTTCTAACTCCCTGCCCTCCTACCCCTCACCCACACGCACAGAGTGAGGATCAGGTTAGCCAGGTCTGGGAAACCCCCCTCAACAAGGGAGGGAACCCGGAAGGGAGTGCTTGCCCAGCAACGCATGGCAACTTCATAACACAGGCCAGGAAGGGAAAGCCCAGGTTCTCAGGGCCCAGACACGGCTCATTTGGGAGAGGGCAGTCCTGTCTCTCCCAGAGGGGTCAGGTGAGGAGGTGTCAGCTGACAAAGGAGTCGTGGCCTCTGGCATCCCTGAAATGCAACCCAAGAGGCGTGGCAAGCTGGGGACCAGCCCGAGTACTTGGTCAGCAGGGGTCGGAGGAAGGCTGGATGCCTAGTTGAGTGAGCCCCCCTCCCCTGTGCTGAGGCAGCCCTGAGTTGAGGAAGTCAGCCAAGCCCCACCCTAGCTCTGCTCAGGGAGCGGAAATATTTGTCCTTGTTTAGACTGAAGGAGAGACGATAGAGTCATGATGTGCTCCTTCCTGTGGGCCCAGATCCTGATTCCCGAGCAGCCACCCCCGCAGCAGCCTCAAGGTCTCCCCATATCCCAGGCCTCTGAGACTCACAAGTGAAGAGTGAGGAGCCATTCTTCACAAGAAGAGAAATGGACAGTGGCTTAAGAGCCCGGGGGTAGGGGCACCTTTCTGACCAGCACCCCTTTCTACATCTGCTCCCAGTTGTCCTTGTCAGGGTAGAATGTTCCTGGGCTCTGAGCCCCAGTTGTCCCCTCTCCCCTGGTGACTCAGGCACCCTGCGCTCAGCACGTGTCACAGGAGCAACACTCCCAGGTTAAGTCAGAGCCCGGAGGGAGGGAGGGAACCAGGAAGGGAGGAGTGCTTGCCCAGCAACCCATGGCAACTCCACAACACAGGCAAGGGGCCCTTCTTCTCCCACCTGCCGTCAGGCCACCCAGGCTGTGAGAGCTGGAGGCCAAAGGCTGCAGATGACAGGGTGCCTGCAGGGATTCCAGAAGACAGCTGCCATCCAAGAACTGATCCTGGAGGTAGGGCCAGAGGCCAAAAGCAGTGGGTGAAGGAGCTTCCTGTATCACCCGCCCCCAGCCTCAGCCAGGTGTGGGGAGAAATATGTGCCCACCGTTCTAGAAGCAGGTGGGGGTGGAAGATGACTGGATTTAACACCCACAAGGCTAGGACCTGTGGGTTGGAGTTGGGTCTGTTCGTCCCTCCTTCTGGTTAGGGGTTGAAGGCACCACTGTCTAGGCCAGCCGTGGGCAAACTACGGCCCGCGGGCCAGATCCGGCCCGTTTGAAATGAATAAAACTAAAAAAAAAAAAGACCGTACCCTTTTATGTAATGATGTTTACTTTGAATTTATATTAGTTCACACAAACACTCCATCCATGCTTTTGTTCCGGCCCTTCGGTCCAGTTTAAGAACCCATTGTGGCCCTCAAGTCAAAAAGTTTGCCCACCCCTGGTCTAGGCTGAGGCAAAAAACAGATACCTCTACCCCTTCTCCTGCTGGCTGACCCCACAGTGTCCAGGCAAAGGAGCTCAAGGGACAGGGTCGAGTCCAAGATGACAATCTAAACAGCATCTCTTTCCTTGTTTATGTCCCTAACAGCCCTTAATCCTCTAAGCACCTAGGAATCCACTCAGCCCTGGACTATTTGATTTACCTGTCTCAAAAACACAGGTAAGAAGAGGTTAGGGGATAAAAACTCTTATTACCAAGTAAGAAAATGAGTGGTATTCAAAGGTGAAGGCCACCCAATCCAAGTGTGGGTCTCTCAGCCAGCAGGTCCATGGCTGGTAGGCCTGTGCCCCCAGGACGCCAGGAGGAGGAGACTGCCAAAGACCCCGGGTTGAAACTATCGCTGGCCCGGCCTCCAGGCCACCTGCCCAGCATTGATGAGGCCCGACCAGCAGGTCCAGGCCCAGCCTCCCGCCGCAGCTCAGTGCTGGGCCTGACTTCATCCTTTTCCCGCCGCAACTCGCTGGCTGGACCAGGCATGGGTCCTGGGGGCCGGCGACCATCCTTGGGCCCAGAGCCGCCTTTAGGCTCAAGGATCAGCTTCTCTGGGTTGCTCCTGGCACCTCCTCGGCGGATGGCACCCTCATATCGCACTGAGCCAGCGCCTGGGGAGCGCTGGGAGGCCATGCGAACACAACATGCCCTGGAGGAAGTGCTGGCCACAGGACTACAAGACACAGTCTACTCTGGCACCAAGGCAGGGCCCCTGGCGCGGGAGCTGTGCGAACTGGTGCACACGCGCCTGCGAGAGCTCAGCCCGCCCCGCTACAAGCTGGTGTGCAGCGTGGTGCTGGGGCAGCACACGGGCCAGGGTGTGCACGTGGTCAGCCGTGCGCTCTGGGACGGGGCGCATGACGGCCTGGCCTCCGCCACCTTCACCAACGCCTCGCTCTTTGCAGTGGCCACGGTCCATGGGCTCTACCACGAGTGAGGAGGCATCCAAGTTCTGCAAAATGGTTTATTATCCCAGGAGGAGGCCCTCCCTAGGGCGGCACATCCCAATAAATAAATGTCTGTCAATAAATAAAAGTGGTCCATAAATAGCGCCCCCTAGCTGGGGGCTAAGGCTCAGGCTTTTCTTGGAGAAGGGGTAGGAGGCAGCTATGACAGGCAGCCTGCAACCCCAGTGAAGTTGGTCCCTGATTCCCTGGGGGATTAGGCCCAGAGCCCCCAGTGAGGCACCAAAGGGACAGGGAGGGCCACAGAGGCCAGGGCCAGAGCCTTACAGGCACCGGCCTCAGGCCTGAGGGCTGGGTGGTAGCCCGCTCTGCGGGCTGGGCCTAGGCCGAGCAGCGGTCCCGGAGCAGCCGCAGCGTATAGCGGAGCCGCTGCCGCAGATCCGGGGAGCAGCCCAGCTGCCGAAGGTGGGAAGCAAGGTAAGTACAAGCGCTGCGGTTGCGGGCCACGAACGTCACAAGGAGGGGCTCCCAGCCACTGAGGATCAGCTTGGTGTGGTCTCCGTAGAAGTTCACCTGTGCACAGGGGGGTGGCATGGATCGGGGCCCAGGCCCCAAGTCGTTTCCTCCCCACCACCCTAGGCCTCCCGACCTGCCCCCAATCCCAGAGAAGCTCTTACCTGGACCGTGCCATCACTGAACAGCATGAGCAGGGCCTGATCGGTCTTGACCCACTGCAGTAGGAGTGGGGGGACAGGCACCTCCACTTCTTCCACACTAGGCAGATCTCCACCCTGGGAGCAGAGGCAGGTCACTCGTCTGACATGAGTCAGGGCCCTCCCACTGTTGTCTCCCTTAGAGGGTCAGCCTTCAGCTTTGAGCCCCTCCACAAAGGGGAATAGGAAGGGACCAGGATGTTAGTCCTCCATGTGCCCCACCCCAGTCCACACACCTTCATGAGGTGCTGTTCCATGTAGGAGGTGAAATACCGCAAGACACCCAACTGAGGCTGCAGGCCCCGAGGCACAGCACCCACAGAGAAGGAGAAGTGCTTTGTGCTGGTGGGGTTGTAGTGCACAGTCCTGGAGGGGAGGAGACGGAGGTCAGAGGGAGCCCAGGCCCCGAGCCCAGGCGCACACACCAAGGTGCAGCCCTGCTGGGTACAATGGCCGATACAAGACACCCCGTCACAGCACTTACTTTCTGTTGGCCGACAGCGCCATGTGTGTGCCATTGTTGAAGAGCACGGCCACTCGGCGGCTGGACAGCTGATACCCAAAGCCAAACTTGTTTGAGTAGTCAACCCACTTGCTGACCCACACCAGAGGCTCTGGCTGTGCCAGGGGAGCCGGGTTCTGATCCGCTGTCGTGGGAGAGGAAGGAGTAGGACCTGTTCCTGGCCTCCCAGCCAAAGAACTTCCCCCACCATCACATGTCCCAGACCCCACCGTACCTGGGGGCATGAAGGCCAGGCAGTTTCTCAGAGCACAGAGTGCTGACTCCACCACTGTGGCCACAGTCAGACCTTCTTCAAACCCTAAAGGGAACGGGGTACTCAGAATTAGGCATTAGTCCCCTAGGACCCAGGCCATGTCCTCCTGCTCACTCCTCCCCTCTGGTCCCTGGTTTCAGCCCAGTAACCGCTAGCACCTCTCATACTCCTGGCTGCTCACCATCTCCGCTACTCGCCAGTGTCCCACGGGGTGAGCTGTCTTCGGGCGCTGTCTCTACCAGGCTGAGGGGGGCTGGACCAGAAGCTGCTGGAGCCTGGAGGATTGGGTAGGGGAAAGGAGTGGTGAGATAGGCCCTGAAATCCAAATCTTTTTTTTTTAATATATTTTATTGATTTTTTTACAGAGAGGAAGGGAGAGGGATAGAGAGCTAGAAACATCAGTGAGAGAGAAACATTGATCAGCTGCACCCCTGCTACTGGGGATGTGCCCACAACCAAGGCACATGCCCTTGACTGGAATTGAACCCGGGACCCTTCAGCCCGCAGGCCGACGCTCTATCCACTGAGCCAAATCGGCCAGGGCAAAATCCAAATCTTTGAGAGTCCATGGCTCAGGCCTGCCCTGGCACCAAGGTCACCCCAGGTCAGCCCAGGTCAGCCCCGCCTGGCTAATGAGACACAGCCAATTAGGCCACCACGAGGCTAGATGCTTCACCAGCCTCTTTTATCCCGAGCTTCCCGCAGCTGCTAGGGTGGGGTGAGTCAGGGAACCCTTGCCCGTGTGAGCACCTCACCTCAGGCTTGGCATCCTGATGGGCAATGGATGTCCGAGTGAGGCCGCTCACCAAACAGGAAACCTCGTCCCGCTCCTCGGGATGGTTCTTACCTGGATGGGGGCAGATAGAGCCCTCAGTATCCTGCTTCCCACAGGGATGATACAGCCTATGTAACACACGCTCTCCCCAGGGGCTCCCAGGTACTCACACCACCACCATGTATGTGTATGTGTATGTAACAGCCCCCCCGCCCCCCGCCCCGCCACTCTGTACCCTCAAAACCAATGGCATCCCAGACTCACTCTTGTTCTTCTTCCTGCCAAAGAGGCTCTTGGTAACTTTGACAAACAGAATCCTAGCTGGGTTAAGGGGTACCAGGTCTGGGACTGTCACGCAGCTGTTGATAGGGAGCCGGTCGGGGGTGTAGCCCTGAGGAGTGGAGCCATATGTGAGCAGAAAAGAGAGGGTCCTGCACCTGCCCCCCTTCAATCCCCTGGGGATGTGCCACAGACCTTGGTAAAGAAGTCATGGCGCAGGATCTGGTCAATTGAGGGGCGGTCCTGGGGCGAGGCTCGAAGGATGGCAGCCAGGAGCTGCCGGGCAGGCAGTGAGAGGCTGGCGGGCAGCGTGTAGTGAACCTGTTTGATGCAGCGGTACGTCTCCTTCAGGTCGACTGTCTCAAAGGGGGGGCTCCCACATAGCAGTGTGTACCTGTGGGCGGATAAGGGGTCAGGAGTCCAGTGGGAGGTATGCCGCACCCGTGCACCCATCTGTGTGCAGATGACCCGGGACTCACATGACACAGCCCAGGGACCACACATCTGCCTCTGGGCCGTGACCCTGTCTCTGCAGCACTTCCGGAGCCACGTAGTTAGGGGTGCCACAGATGGTCCTGGAAAGGGGAGGAGAGGGGAGGGTTTAGGCCCAGCCTAGCGAGCCCTCGCCCCATCCCCGCCCCCACTGTGAGTCCAGACAAAGCAGCTGCCTGTCACCAAAGGCCAGAGAACTCCTGCTTGTCCTGGGACAATGGATGCTGGGGATGGCAGCTGAGTCCCCGCCCACCTGCCTGGCCCAGCTGCTCAGCTGCTCTGTAGGACGGGGGGAGGGAGGGCCTGGCCCCCAACCCAGCCCCCTTCTCCAGGGTCAACAGAGGGCCCATCACTGATCCCTTCCTCCTTCCCCCACTCCCATCTGTCAGACACCCATACGGGCTGTCACCTCCTACAGTCTGTGCCACATACACACACCAACACCAGCTGTCACATCCCCCATGAACACTCATCTGCCATACATGCTGTCTGTGTCCCTCACACCCAGTCATGGCCACAGCAGCGTCTTCTTACATACAGGGTGTCATCTCCTGCCATTCCCACACTCTCTGTCTGTCTCACACACACAATACTGTGTCACCTGCCCCCATCCACACAAGATCAGTCATACAGCTCCAAGAATCCTTATATCCCCATCTGTCTCAGGGACTCAGGCACCCATAGGACCCTCAGCCTCTCCACCAGTCCCAGCAACCCAGGCTGCCACCTCCACCTTCACACACAAACAGCCCATCATCTTCCCCATCTGCCACACACACACACACACACACACCAGGCAATCATCCTGCTTCCCACAGAGGTGCTGCCTGTCAGGCAGTCATCTGTGTCACACACGGACTGTGCCACCCCCTGAAACACTCACTTCTTCCTATGCTCTGGGGGCTCCAACCGGGTTGCCAGCCCAAAATCCCCCATCTTCAGTTCCATGTTCTCAGTAATAAAAAAATTTCCTGTAAGGGGGCAGAGAGGTGTGTCACACTCCTTTCTGAGCCTCCCCACCCCCACCCCGACCTGCCCCCTGGCCCAGGAGTCTCACCCAGCTTGAGGTCTCGGTGCAAGATGCCTCGCTGGTGCAAGTACTTGAGTCCCGAAAGGATCTGCCGCAGGTAGTAGCGCACTTCTGGCTCCAACAGGGTGTGCCGGGCCTTCCAGATGTGGGCCAGGGACTACAGAGAACCACCGCCTCAGTCCCTGGACCGCCCTCCCTGGCCCTCCCTCAACCCTGTTCCGTGAGGAAGAGACAGGATCTCCAGCTTTGGATCTTAAGGCTCCTTGACCCCTCACCCCGAATCACCATCCCTCACCTTTCGGCTGCAGAGCTCCAAGAAAATGTATATGTTGTCAGCATCCTCGAAGTGATGCGAGAAACGCACGATGTGGCGGTGCTGCAGGCCGCGGTGCAGTGCAATCTCATTTAGGATCTGCAATGGGGGTGCAGGCAGGATCGTCATCCTCCAGGGGCTCCCACGCCACCGTCCCCACCCCGCGCCTCATCCGCCAGGCCGGGGCCCCAGCCCACCTTCTCGCGCTGATGCGGCTTGGTAATGCGGCTCTGCGAGATGACTTTGACCGCGTAGGCGCTGCCGGTCTCTGTGTCCGTGACCTCGTAGCAGCGGGCGAAGCCCCCCTGTAAGGAGGGGGCATCAGGCATGTGCTCCTCGGGAGGCCGGATCGGGCCCGCAGAGGTCCCCAGCGTCC